TTGGGCTTCATGGAGTGGCAGCCTCGTTCCAGCACCTGATGGACCAGCTGTTAGCTCCCTACCAGGAATACGTGGCCGCGTATGTAGCTGATATCATCGTTTTCTCTGGTGATTGGGAAACGTACCGCCAACACCTACGGAAGACCCTCAACAAACTCCGTCAGGCCGGGCTGACCACAAACCCTCAGAAATGTGGGCTTGGAAAGAGGGAGACTCAATATCTTGGGTTCCTGGTTGGACAGGGCAAGATAAAACCCATAGCAGATAAGGTGGCAGCCATCAGATGGCACCCATTAACATGGACACTCAAGCAGCTAAGGTCTTTTCTGGGTTTCACTAATTTCTATAGACACTTCATCCAGGATTTCTCCAAGAAAGCGGCACCTCTGACAGAACTCACAAAAGGACGGAGGAACCCGATCCAGTGATACCCCAGGGCTACCCAAGCTTTCGAACTAGTGAAGGCAGCCCTATACCAACACCCAGTACGCTACACCCCAGACTTCGAGAAGACATTCTTTTTGCAAACTGATACCTCTGGCACTGCACTGGGAGCTACTCTCTCTGGGGGAGAAGAAAGGCCGATAGCCTTTGCCAGCAAAAAACCGATGACCACAGAAGCCCGATATTCCATGAGCCTGACCATCCGGTGAAGGGTGCAACTCTTTCGCTATTACTTACTGGGCTGGAGGTTCATGCTGATCACGGACCATGCACCCCTACGCTGGCTACGAACTGCCAAGCTAGATAACACCCAGCTAATGAGGTGGTCTCTTGCTTTACAATCCTTTTATTTTACAGTAAGACACCAGGCGGGAAAGAAGAATGGGAACGTGGCCATCTTATCACGCACCAAAGATACAACAGACACCACCGGGAGAGCAACGGACATGGCTGGCCTGGTCGCGGATCGTGAAGACAGGCCAACTTTAAGTTTTTTTGAACAAAGGGGGGAGGTGTGTAACAGGTGATCGAGCTGAAGCCTGGGCACAGCAGTGGGGGGTTTACACACCAGGGAAGGATCAGGGTAATTATGGCTACTGCTGTGTGTACAAGGTGGAGCTGGGGATCACACATTTGCCCTCGGGGCATTGGAGAGAAGCAGAGCAGTTCAACTGCAGGGATGGCTGAGCGGCAGAAGGCAGTGCGAACAGGAAACTGACAACGAACTGGTGAGACTGGGGACGCTCACGTAGAGGGCTGTCGATGGTGGGAGGCCAGCAAGACCCACGAGAGCCCGGGGCACATGGCTCCAGGAAAAACCCCAGAGACAATTGCACTCCCTGATCAGGACAGCCGGGAGACCACTGCAATCAGGAGAAGATCAGAGAAATGGCAATCAGCCAAGCAGCGAAACAGCCACTTCTGCACTCATAGGGCAATTAACACAGTTATTTACTTTGTATCAAGCACCAATAAAGGCTGGCTGTTGGTGAAGCTGACACCTGGGTGGCTCATTACTTATCACCCTTTCCTTCAGGGATTAACATCTTATTATCTTTCCATCTCCTTAGTCGTGGCAGACGAGTCCTGAACAGAGGAGGGGCGGGTAACCAACACCCACTCACACTATCATAGGTAACAGTAGGGAGGACACAGCAGCATTGAGGACTATTTACCTGAGTGTGTACTCAGCGTCCCCTGATGGAGCTGTATAGCTTGTGTGGAAGCCCACACCCCCTTTACGACTATTGTTACCCACACTCCTTAACTAGATTAGAGACAGTGTAGGTATACCAACATGAGTCCTCACTGAAGTAAAGAAACACCTACTGATCTACCCTGTGTGAACTTTTTTGCCTGCAGCACTGTAAAATACTAAAAGTTGTCTCAAGTATCTTTGATGGATTCTGCTCGTCTATTCCTCATTTCTGATTTAGACTTGATCAGAAAAACAATTCATTTCTATATATCAACTCTTCAAGTTCAGACTAGAATTTAAAAGTCAACATCTGTTCAGGCTCTTGTGTTACAACCCACAGAAAAGAATCTTAATTCCACTGGTGACACGTAGGGGGTGCACACAGGTGCATGTGCACCCCGTGAGATTGGCCATGCACCCCCTGGAAGCGCCAGTCGTGAAACCAGAAGTGCTGGCGGAAGTGCACTTCCAGTTTCACTGCTGGCTCAGCAATTGGCCACTGGGGGACTCTTCCCCCCCATTGGCGATCTGGTGTCCCTCCAGACTCAGGAGGCACCATTCGCCCATGCTTAATGCAGTAAATTGTACTGATTTTGCATGAAACAGAAATGAGCATGTTCTTGTAAATGTACTGGGTCTTCAAAGAAAGTGGAGTAAATGGTGGTAAGAAAAATATTTACCTTTTAATTCTGCTTCCACAAAGATATTTTGCAGAATTCTCATTTCTGGATCTCATGACCTAAAATAATTCAACCACTTCCTCTGAAGAACAAGAAACTTCTAGGGATTTTGTGGGGAGGGGGGATATTTATTTTTTTAAATACAAAGAAAGTAAGGACTAAAGAACTGTTTAGCATCATTATTCCAAACCCCACCTCTGGTAATAATTTGGGTTGGTAAACACGAATCTAACATAAAGATGTTTTCAGCAAACTTACTTTTCCATCTCTAAAGGTCACAGGATAATAGGAAAGTAGGGCTAGAAGGGACTTCATGGAATCATCTAGTCCAGGCCTCTGCTCAAGACAGGATCATCCCTGACTAAGCCATCCCAGCCAAGCGTCTGTCTAACCTGCCCTTGAAAATTTCCAGAGATGGAAATTCCACAACTTCTCTAGGTAGCCTGCTCCAATGCTTGATGCAGGCATACCTGGTCCAATGAGTGTGGGACTGCCCTCATAGTCAGAAAGATCTTCCTAATCTCCAACCTAAATTTCCTCTTCTGCAGTATGAGGTCATTCCTTGAAGTCCAGTTCCTTACAGCTGCAAAGAATAATCTACCTCTACCCTTTTATAATAGCCCTTCAGGTATTTGAAGACTGTTAATAAATCCCCACTTGGTTTTCTCATCTCCAGATTAAATTGTGTTAGTTCTTTTATACTTTCCTCATAAATCATGTTTCCCAGGCCTTTAATCATTTTTGTTGCTCTCTGCTGGACTCCTTCTAATCTGTACAATTTTTTCTTGAAGTATGGAGCTCAAAAATGAACATAGTGCTCCAGGTAAGGCTTCACTCACCTGTGCCAAACAGAACAGAAGAAACACTTCCCTCTGCAAGAGACACTCCTGTTAATACACCCCAGTATGCTGTTGACTTTTTTGCAACAAAAGCACACTGCTGGGTCATATTCAGCTTATGGTCCACTGTAACCCCCAAAACTTCCTCTGCAGTATCGCAGCCTAGCCAACCATTGCCCAGCCTGATTTGTGCATGCAATTATTCTCTTCCAAGTGCAGGACTCTGCACTTATCCTTACTGAATTTCATCTGATTAATTTTGGACCATTTCTCCAGGTCATTCTAGATACTTGCCATACCCTCCAGTGTCTCCAACGCTAGCCAATTTGGTGTCACCTATAGATTTGCTAAGTGTACACTCAATCCCATCATCCAGGTCACTAATGAAGATGTTAAACAACAGCAAACCAAGCACTGACCCCTGGAGAACCCCACTTGATAGCTTCTCCCAACTACACATTGAGTCACTAATGACTACTCATTGAGCATGATGATCCAACCAGTTATGGATTCACTTTACAGTACTTTCCTCTCAGTACTCTCTATTTCTTTAGCTTATTGAGAATGTCAAGGGGAAAAGTGTCAAAAGCCTTGCTAAAGCCAAGGCAGATCATATCCACAGTCCTTTCCCCATTCACAGAGCCTGACACCTCATAGAACAAAATACTTCCTAAAAATAACATGTTCAAGATTCCTACTGCTGCGGAAATAGCAGCTCAAAGAATGGCCCTTTACCTTTCATCCCCCTACACAAAAAAGGAATACTGTTAAAGGTAAAGTAGTATGTACTACATACCAGGACCAAAAAGTTTTATGTTCTACTGTTTCATGTAAAGAAGGGAGAGAAGATAGCTTTTACATATATGAGGCTTAAATAATTTGAGCAAAGCAAAACATCCAAGCAAAGCAAAATTCTATAAAAAAATCTAGCCAGTTTCAATTAGGGACATTACTACAAAAGAACTTACAGAAAAGGGACAGTTTAGGCTTTCTTTATTCCTAAGCATGTTCTAAAAACAAAAAGAAACAAAACAGATTCCTCCCTAGAAGCTCAATTCAAACAATATCTAAACAACAGCTTTTCAAATGTACAGAGCCCTCTGATCTGTGATTTCTGAATGAGTGACTAGTTAGGCAACTTTAATTGTGCTAATGAAAACATAGTGAGATGCATTTATTCTATGGAAACAAGCTAAATTTCATTTTCTGAGAAAGGGCAATCTGTTTAAAACTCATATTTCCTTCAATATTGAAGGAAGCTCTTACTGTAATTCACATGGGTAAAGTTTGGTTCTCATTCGTGTTATTGCTTTTTCTAAGAGCTTCACATCACACATTTACCAAGTTTTAAATAAAATGGTAAGATCATGTTGATGTAGACTTTCCAATGCTCTTATGTTATAAAACCTAAGTCCACTACGTGACTTAATCAAGTGTGTAGTCCCATTGACCGTAAAAAGACTACTTAGGAACTTAAACTGGACTGATACTTTAAACTGTAAATAAATTTTTTGTTCATTCATTATGACTGTTATTTCCCCATTATCCCCACCATCATCTACTCATTAGGTAAACCTCTTAAACAATAGTCACCATCTATAACCCATGGACAGGAAGCTTTTTATTCAATTTTTCACTGGAAATATGAAATGCCAACATGCAGTTTCCTTTAATAAGGTGAGAGGCAGGAAGAAAATAATGGAATGCAAGAAAGCTAGAAAGAATAAAATAAATTTCTGAAATACAAAGATGCAAAATATGTAACATAACAGTGAAACATAATACAGTGATACATTAAAAATAATGTATTGACCATTAGAATTGGTCTATTAAGCTCACCTGTCAAGTAGAGTGCAAAAGATATAAACCTGTGGTAGCGAATTAGAAACTGAAGTTGCTCTCTTCTTTGAACAAATGTAGCAAAGTAATCTGCCACTGTCTCTCCATAGAAAAAGTAGTTTACACACAGCAAAAAGTACCTAAAACAAACAACAGATACTGCTCATTTTATTTGCTCTTAAATACATCTTTGTACAGTTTAATTCAACAAAAGAAGAAGCAAACAAAATTTTAATACCTAAAAATTAGGAACTGAAGCAGAGATCCTAAAAAAAGCCCAATATTTTAAACTTATACTCAAGTATTATTAAACAAATGTATACTGCTTCAAAAAGACAGAACTTACATTTTAAGTTCTATTAAAATAACATTTATTTAAAAATACCAGCATTCTATAAAAGGAAATTAGCTAAACATTTTCATGTTGAGTTACAGCATTGAACCCTCTATACACACACAGTCCCTATTATGATATTCTGTAGTTAAAAAATACAGAACTAATTATTAGCACTTTCCTTGTAAAATTTTTCAATACTTGAAAAACTTTCCCAGATGCTGCATGGGAAATTTGCTAGAATTCTCTGCACAGCTTTAGGATGATGTTCAGCTTTGACAGACAAATAGAAAACAAGTTAGTTGTTACTATAAAAACAAGTCTCATAACTTAGTGGGATGGTAAACAAGTGGGAGATAATGTTTTGGTTTTGCAGTGTAGGCAAACGCTTCTTTAGCAATAGGGCCATGAAAGAGGTATGTCACCTTCCCCTCCCTGCCACACACCATCTTTTTCCTTTCTTGCATGGTCTTCATTATTTATAAACAGTAATCCTATGTCTGAAGACAGTCAATAAAGACCTCCAGTCAGAAACAGATAAATAAGATAACTAAGAACAGTCACTACTAACATCATAAAATATCCTTACTCCACACATATCCAGCAATATAACGCTGGTGTACAAATATAATTTGGTGAATACACTAAGGACGTTGTAGTTTAACATGCAACAAGTCTCTATCTTCCCCTGAAATCAAGTATGTAAACACATGTATATTAGGCTATTGCACTTTTATCCCTAGTACTTAATCATAGGGTGAAAGTTCTTTTCCATCACCTGTTCCAGGTCAATGTTCGTGACACTGTTTCCCTTACTAAAGTATCATTTTGCTTTATACCAGTCTTATTCCACAGAAAGTTTTCCCAGAGTTCAACTACAAATGGAATCTGAATACACAAAGGAATATTCAATGAAATTTTTAAAAGTAGGAAATTCAAAACTAAAAATGATTTTTTTATATAATACGTTATTAAACTATGGAATTAATTACCACAAAGTCACAGAGGAGAATAATTTAAAAGTAAAAAAGGGACTGGATATCAAGAATAGCCAACAATGCCATCATTAATTGCAAACTTTGGAAGAGACATGAGCCCATTTATTTCTGTGGTTTAAGACAATTGTTAAATATAACCAGGATGTGACCTACACGAAGGTAAAGACTGTTCCACATTTGCCACCTGCAGGGTTCTTCTATCTTCTTCAGAAGCCTCCAGTACCTGTTACTGCCAAAAAAACCATAGTGGACTGGATGGACTTTCCATGCAAACCATTATGGCATTTCTTATGTTCCTATAAACAGGGGCTGCTTATTTCAGTTAACTCAACTGCGCATATTTAATCATAGGGTGAAAAGTATACGGCATACTATCATACATGGGCCTCATTCCAATTTTATTACTCTAAACAAGTAAATACATTGCAGAGCTGGGAGAAACTAGGGCTATGAAAGGCCAACTGACTTGCTCAAGGTTGCACCTGTACAGGATGATAGAGGCATGTATACAAAGCAGATCTCCCAAGTCCCAAGCCTTTACTTTAGCCACAAAGCTATTCTTCCGTGTTACAGGATATAAAGAGCTTAACCTTAATCTCCACTGATTGAAATTCTCATGTGTTACTTACCAGCTTAGGGTTCTAAACCATGGTAAATCATAGGAATGATAGACTCTGTAGCCTATTGTAATGATTTCATGGAAACACTTTACTTGGATGCTCAAGACCTAAATTAAAGAAAACAAAGAATTATCTGCACGTACAATTTTCTAAAAACAGTAACAAATATTAGAACCTGCTTCAAGAATGTATCTTACTGTTATAATGTCATTGAATAAGCAGCTTGAGCAATTTCAAGGGATTACAATGTGAAACGGAACCACTTTTGAATGAACGGAGAACCTGAGTCACTCTGCAGAAAGGAATGTTAGGGCTGGTTTTAATATATTTAAAAAAACTTAGTGAAGTTAAGTTTTTAAAAAAGGTTTGACAAATGCACTTGCAATGACAGGTAGAAAGCTTTCTCTGCAAAGCAGTATCCCAAGCTCTTCTGCCATATTAATTTTTTTATTTAGATGAGAGAGGAGATTTTCAAAGATGAAAAGAGAAATAAAGTGCTCAACTCCTATTGAAAAGGAACAGAAATTTGACATAACTCCAGTTTCAGTGACCTTTATGCACTTCAGTGAATGTTAGCATTAAAGCTCATGTATCTCTAAGACTTTGCCCGTGCTGAAAATTAAATTACATGTTTATTAAAACAATATTAAGCATTAATGTGAAAAGGTTTGGTTGTCACAAACATCGTGGCAACAACACCACTACAACTTTACTTGACATGCTTAACATTTGTCATATTTATCACCTTGTTACTTAAAATGTTAACTCAGAAGGTGCTTCGTTGCGGTACAGACAGTATTTCAATTTTTACCCTCTAAATGTCAAGCTATCTGGATCCCATTCCCTTATCTGCTCCTATTCAGTTCTGGAAGCAAGTAAAATAAATCATCTACTGCAGGGCTGTCCAATTCACAGCTTTCATAAGGGGTTAGATTTTGCAGCCTCCAGGCTCCTTTCCAGACATTACTCCCCCATTGCTCTGGCTACAGCAGTAGCCAAGGGCGCCCGGCTCCTCCTACTTTTCCTTCCTGCCCCCACCCTGGGGTGGTGCAGAGTGAGACAGCATGCCCACATCTTATGGAGCAGAGGAGGGTGCCAGGTGCCTGCAGGCACGATGCTGTAAAGGGGGAATACTCATATGCAATACAGTTTAGGGCAGCACAGTGTGCATGAGCGGGGAGAATTTCAATATGCAGTTCAATGCAGCACAATGCAGGGGGGATGCTATGCACAGCTGTGAGCCCCATGCCACTCCGGCCCCACAGACTCCTCACAGATCTGGAAATCTGGTAGCAGAAGAGTGACTATTAATACTGCCACCTCTCCCCCACTGCCAAATTTCTGGACCCAGGGGACACCCTGTGGGCCATATGACATGGCTCGTGTCATGAGCCAGAGGTTGAGCTCTCCTGCTTTATAATAATGTCAGAAGACCTGAATCCGGAAGCTTCTGCTATGTGGTATAAATTAGGAACAAGTTCATTTTGTAAGCTTGAACATGTTTGGCTTCAAGGCTTGACAGTTAAGCCTTGGAGTACGCACACCTCAGAAAGTAAAGATATTAAATTATGTTGCAAAACAAACACGTTCCTTTTTCTTCCTAGTTATAACACTGCCAGAATAACAATTGGACACTCAAAGGAAAAAGTGAACAAATTCAAACACAAACATACTTTTTATTCAAAGAATTTATTACAGGGAAGAAACTCTCCAATCATTCAGAAAATAAATTACAGCATTTTCCAGATTTAGGGGAAACTGGCAAGATAAAATGTCGACAGGATATAATAAAGAACATAAGAATACTGGCAAAACAACATGCCAGTAGCTCAGCATGTCACATCTTCTAAGAGGTGTTTCTAAGCGGGTCATGTAAAAACAAAAACAAATACTTTGACATCTAGAGACAGAGTCAAAATCAACAGCCATAAAAGGTACAATAACTCTGCATTTTTGTGCTTCAAAACAGCTTCTAGTCTTATTTCTCAAAGTAAAAATGTATTATTTTCTAAATAAATAATTAATGAGTCATAAAAAAATGGTATCACATACTGTAGCTACTATAAAAGTATAATAGCTGTATATAGAAATGGTCAGAAGAAATATTAAATATAACGTCTGAGCACTTATTTCAAGAGTAGAAAAATAAATCAGTTGGCCTATTACTTCTACAAACAAAAAACTGCTACCTGTGACCTTTTGGATGGATTAAAAGACCGTCCACAAATATTTAAGTAGAAGTTAATTACAAAACCTAACCAAGTATGGCCTAAGATTTTCTAAAGTGACTACTGAATTGATTTTCTGGAACTACCTGAGTTTCTCTGAGAGTCCGGCTGCTTTTCTCCTTTGTTACCACTATTTCAGGTAAATTTGTATTAGCAACAATTTAAAACCTAGCATATAAGGTTCCTTCAGAAAGACCCATTTTTTACCATCAGATTAACCAAGAGTGAATTTTAGCAAACTTAAGTGCTCTGTGTTAACAAAATGACAGAACCTTTTCCAAAGCTGTACTAACACAAGTGTTATCTTTTTCAAGAATACGCAGTATAGCTCTCGGTATAAGTGCATGCTCCTCCAGACCTTATTTACAATAAATTCCAAAAACTATCTTCTACCCCAAAAAGGTAGAAAAGTGGGAACAAGAGAAAGTATGCAACTGAAACTGAAGAGTTCACTAGCAGTATCCATTTGGTCCACACAATGCACCATAGTTATCTTTGTGCACCGTACTGAAAGTATAAAGAGTGGCAAGTCCTTTCTCTACTTCAGGTCCCTAGAATAAATAAGCAATCTGTAGCAGATGGTAGGTAGGGAGGGTAGTGGAATATACACTTCTCAAAGGACTCTAGTTACTGTAAGGGTAGGTCACTTTTCTTCCTTCAAAGTACTAGTCCCCATACGTAGTCTACTGAGGATGGCTCCAAAAGCCAACTAGTAACTGCTTAGAATCTTTTACTGACTAAAGGACTCTTACCAAAAAAGGCATCCCAGGAGATGCCTGTACTCGTGCATAATGTTTTATAAAAGTAGGTTGCAGCCTAGCACGTGATACTAGGAGTCATTTGAAGGGAAGGCCAGTGAGGCATTTTGGGTGCTAACAGAATACGCCCCATCATTTTCTGGGTCACGTCTTAGAAATTTCATGGGAAAAGAGAATACATTCAGAGATTCACTTTGAAAGACTGCATAAAAATTGCATCACCTTTCATAATCTAAATAAGAGGGATAAAAAGTCTAGGAAAGTACTAGAAAAGTCTTGTTCTTTCCAAGTAAAAGGGCAAGACCCTCCTGACATCTAAGGAACATATCTGCATTTTTTCATGATGTGTCTGCGTCTTGGGAAAGAATACAGATTAAGGTTGAATTCAGGAAACTACTGTTGGAAGAAGTTTTGGGTGTTGCCTAACAAAAACTATCATGACAAAATACAGTAAGGGGGGTCTGATAACAGGGGCCAAGCTTTCGCCTACTGAGAGCAGGGCTAGGCAGTAGAGGTAGAAAGCTGCAGAGCCCCAGATAATGAACAGTTGTTTAGATAATGGCCTGCTGAGGTACCCTCAGCTCAGAAGGAGAAGCAGCCAGGGGCTATATATATATATAATCCCTGCACTTGAGGCAGGGATGGCAGTCTTGAACTAGGCAGAGCTGGAGGAAGGGCTCACTGCTGGGAGCTCTGTAAAGTATTGTGAGGAGCTGGAGACTGACCCTGACTGCTAATTAAAGGAGCTCTCCACTCCTGAAACAAAGAAGCAGTACCAGGGACTGGAGAAGAATCTGTGAGTAGGCCCATGAGAGCCCAAGCTGAGAGAAGCTAGCAGGACAAGCTTGGGGGGCAGTTTAGAGAAAGGACTCCCCAACTGCACTTAACTGCATTTGTGTTTGGCTTGATGTTTGCTGTTTAGGCTGTGAGCTGGCATAGGATTGGCTGAAGGGAAGGGAATTAGGCTACTAAAGATGCCCCATACAGGGGTCTAACTTCTTGCCAGATTGGCAGATTGACAGAGGCCCGGTGAACAGTAGCTCAGGCTGTCAGTGTCCTGAGAGACAGGGCAGAGGGGGAAAGCAAGGCACCCAGGACCACTCATTGTCTGGAGGCAGAGTATACCACCACCACCAAAGGCATGGAGGGGAAGATGGGGGTTGGGGGAGTTGGTATACCCAGGAATACCAAAGTATAAGGAGCCAGACTAGAGTGACCACAAGGAGATGCCACTCCTGCTGCAAGTGGTAGATCCCATTACATGCTCTCAATTCTCTTGCCTTCCTCTCTGACATTATAGCCATAAGAGAAGCCACCTTCCTAGGCAAGCAGAAAAGCATAAGGGAAAAGGTTCAAATGGAGGTTTTGCTATAACTGTGAACACTAAAGCAAAGTCTTGCAATGGTGAGAAGATGCTCACCAGCCCTTTCAAGCTAAAAACAGAGATTGGGTTTAATCTTGTTCTGGGCTTTGACTAGCATCAAAACAGGGACAGCCACCTACACATGTATCTTGAATGGTAATTAACTTGAATTAGCCCCTGTTGTTCTGGAGCAACATGCTCAGGTAATTCACAGGTACTTAACATTAGGGTTACAATATAGTCTGGGTTTTCCCAGACATGTCCTCTCTTTAGGTCCCCTGATCTCCATCAAGGTGTTTCTTTTTAAATCTAAACAAACATCTGTGACTTTGCTCTGCTCCACTGGTGGGAGCAGGGGGACAGCGATTGAAGGCAGAGGCATCACATGTATCTATACATACACACACACGTGGCTGGCATATAGCTAGGTAGGAGGGTGGGAGCAGCCTTGGCAGCTGGAGGCAGGTAAGTGTATGGGGAGCAGGGGTTGGAGGGCCAGGGTTTGGGAACTGTTCCAGGGCAAGAGGGGCAGGGGGTGAGAGACAGAAGAAGATGGGTGTTTGAGGCCAGGCAGGTACCTGGTGGTGCTGGGGGGGTGGTGGCCAGGTGCTGGGGCTAGGGCTGCAGCATGGGGC